ATATCTATTTGTTCTTCATTTACTAGAGCATATAGGACATAGATAAAAAATAAAATAAAATCTGTGCAATATTTCTACTTGTCAATGTATGTTAATAGTGTTTGCACGCTTTTTGCTGCTGTAACCTGCAGATTTCTTCAATGTGGGATTAATAAAGGCTTGTCTTATTTTATCTTAAACAAGCAAACTAGGTAACCTTTGCTAAAAGATAAGCCACTATTTTTCCAATATACAAGCCTGTGCTCTACCTAATTTTGCATCCATCGTGGCCACAAACAGCCCTCACCTTATGCTCCCTTCATGCCAAAATAAGAAGTTAAAAGTTTTTGGTCGCTCTAATTTTTTTTCCACTTGTTATTTATGAGCAGTTTATTCACAGCAAATAGGATTTTTTTACATTAACTAAATAAATATAAAGCCATTACATTTGGTATTTGACTTAAGTTAGTCTCTTTTTAGTAGATTAACTAATCCTGGTGATGTGCAGGTTGGATGCGGGCACCTTTGGGACGATGGGAGTGGGTCTTGGGTTTGCTATAGCAGCAGCTGCCATGGAGAAGAGCGAGGACCGAGGCCGCAGGGTTGTCTGTGTGGAAGGAGACAGCGCCTTTGGATTCTCTGGCATGGAGGTCGAGACCATGTGCAGGTCGGTCGAGCTCCCCTGTTTGTATTTAGCATGTATAGCTCAGCCCCCTCTGACTTGTTTTTGTGTTTTTTTTATCAGATATAATCTCCCTGTGGTCATCATTGTGGTCAATAATAACGGCATATACAGCGGAGTAGATCCTGAGACATGGAAAGAAATGAGCCAAATGGGAGATCTGACCTCCATGTAAGTCAGACATTATCATAATGGAGCACGTTCACTATGATGGTTTCGTCCATGTAATAAGCTGCATCATAGTGAACGGTGTCGTGTGTTATGGTTTTGCCTTTTAGAGCCCCTCCTGTGTCCCTCCTACCCGAGGCCCGCTACGATGAGGTCATGACGGCGTTCGGAGGGCGAGGGTTCCTGGTGAGGACGGTGGAGGAGCTGCGCAGTGCCTTAGAGCTTAGCCTGAGCGACTGGGAGAAACCGAGTCTTCTCAATGTGCTTATCGACCCGTCCTCAGACAGAAAACAGCAGGTAAGTGTGACCTTCAGGAACAAGCGTCTGTAGAGGTGTACAGCTCAAAATGAAAAATGCCTCTAGAGTTTAATTATGCAGTTGGAGTTTTTCATTAGGGTCCGAGCACTACAGTGCGTAGAACCCTACTGTAACCCTTGTGATAATTTTTGTACCGACTTTTGAAATGCGATTTTGAGGGCCTAAACATGCACGAAAACTGACCAAATTCACCACACGCATCAGGACTGGCGAAAATGTTGATATTTTAAGGGAGTTGGACATGTCAATGCCAAAATGGCTCCACAGCACCACCTTGAAAATGTCAACGGAGTCCCATCGGAAGCACGTTTGACCTAGACCTACGCAATTTGGTAGGTATATGGAGGAGGTCAGGATGAACAAAAAAGTCAGTGACAGCCATACCCTAAACCCAACAGGAAGTCCGCCATTTTGGATTGTTCGTTTGTCCAATCTGAGCTACCTCCTCCTCCTCAGGGGTAAGTCACAAAGCACTGAAATTTGGGTAGCATGTAGAATACGCCTTGATGGTAAAATGTTATCAAAATCATGTGCAAAGGTCAAAGGGCGTGGCCACGGCGGCCTCCTGATTTTTGATCCTTTGCCGTGAAAGAGGAAGTACTGTGTAGCTACCCTGTACATGCTCCAATCTGCCTCACACTTTCCATGTTTGATCAGACTGCTGCCCTGATCACATCCATATGCCCAAATCCATTCACAGTCATAGCGACACCTAGCTGGCAACAGGGAATGACACTTTGATGTGGTACTGTAAGACCATTGATCATATTAACGTCAAATGTGGTGAACTCGGCCTTCACATGTCGATGATGACTCACGGTGAAAATTGTGTGTTTACGTCAAAGGGCGCGTCTGTGACAGCGCGCCGAATTTTGATAAAAACTCAAATGTTCATATCTCAGCTGCAGATCATCAAATCTGGCTCAAATCACACATGATTGACAAGAGTCCATGTCTGAAGACATCCACACTGTAAAATTGACTCATAGCGCCACCTGTGAGTAACAGGCTGTTTGAGGCATTACACTTCTATGTGCCATTGCTCCAAACTTTGTGATATCACTGTTGACCTCGCGGTGTTGATGGGTGGGTCACAAGTACCTAGAGAAACATGGGTTCTCTGGTGCTTTGAGAAGGAGAAGTCTGTGGATTTGACAGCCGTGGAGGTTCCACTGGGAGTTGTCACTTCATCAGATGGTTCGTCTTCACAGACTCTCCTCCTCTTTGATGGTAGGGCGGCAGCGTAGGGGCTTACCCAGTCGAAGAGACTCTCACCCATCACCTTTCTCTTCTGCTGCGTTGTTAAACTCACGGTGTTGACGGGTGGGTCACAAGTACCTAGAGAAACATGTGTTCTCTGGTACTTTGAGAAGGAGAAGCCTGTGGATTTGACGGCCGTGGAGGTTCCACTGGGTCAGGTTTAGAGAGGGATTATTTATATGGACAAAACTTTAAGATATTTAACTTTGATACTCAACAACAGCAGAGGGACTTTAAGTTACTGTACTTGTTGGCGCATTTTACCACAAATTAGCTTGCATTTAGATTTCCAAACATGCAAGAAGCAGACATATAGCCTTAAATGTACTTAGAGATGATGCACAACACATAATTACAGCAGAAGGGCTTAATATGCATCTTTCCACCCTGTGCAGCAGCAGTGCATCCAGAAAATGTGACTGATTACATTGAACACCTCTCTACATGCACATGTAGACTTTTGAAGAAACAAGCAAACTCCACCTTGTGGCCAGTGGGTGTAACTACATCTTTATCATATCCAGAACAACATCTGGGACTGAATCCAAAAGCTCAGACTTCTGTGCACTCATGTACACTTTGGTGAAGTCTGGAGGGCCTCAGGCTGCGCAAATCCACAGCATGTGGACACTTCTTTTTCAGACTTCCAGAAAATCTGGATTAAAGGGTAAAGAACTTGGCAGTGACGGTAATTAATGTAAGCCTTGTCTCATACCAGGTTTGATCCCCCTGCAGCCCAGTGTCCCTGCAGGCTTCATGTGAGAGCAGACAATGTTTACCACCAAATGTTACAAGTCAGATTCAGCATATTTTTTCAGTATTTTTTTACCTGGGGCCCTGCAGGAGGTAGAGCAGAGAGGGAATGACACTCACAGCACTAAAGCCAGCCGTGATTAAAAGCGACAGCGTTTCAGTTTGTGGTTTGCGTGCAGCAACAAACAGCTCAGCTCTGTTTACTTGACTCTTGTCTCATCCCCGACCGACATGCCTCTCTTAGCGGTAATCCATACACTCCAGGTGCACCCCAGAACTGTTGTATTCCACTCACAATCCCTCCACCTCACACCAACCTGACCTTTCTATTTCAAGGCTCCCATAATTAGAAAGCATGGCCCTCTGTGTTTATGTTGAATGTATCCACGCAACCCTCCGCAGACACGGCTCAAGGCTGTATTGAGGACTGTATCCATGGTGCTGAGCTCCAGGCTGTGCCCTCTGTGGCCAGCAGAGCTCCTTATTCGAGGTGTGCTGCCCTCTGACAATGACCAGACTTCAGGTTGAATCCGAGTGAAGACAAACTGTAATTTGTTCCTGCTCGAGCAAATGTGGAGCTCAAATGGATTCCAACATCCGTATAGGTCACAATAGCCTTTTCATCTAAGGAGGTCTAATGTAATTTTGTGTTGTCTGTATTTGCAGGAGTTTCCTTGGCTCACTCGCTCCAACCTGTAGTAGACCTTTGTCCAGAGCATCGTCAGAACAACAGGGACGGTTTTCTTCAGGAAAGTGGAAAATATGAAGCTGCTTTTGTTTTTTTGTGATTATTTCTGTGAAATAACTATTTGTATTAATTTTTACTAGACTGTATTGTTCAAATCAACTAAATAACACCCCAATAAAACATTTTTTCACAATATACGATGAATGCTATTTATTTCAAGTCACTATTTTTCATCTTCAACTGGGCTGAAACTATGATGATTGTTGTCTTAACTTAAGTGTATGGTCTCTGATACGTCAGCTTATTGTGAAAAAGAGCATTTACATGTCCCTATAAAGAAAATGACATCTTACAGTATCTTGTTTTGTCCAAATGGATCAAAACCCAAAGACTGTTTTTTAAGGGACCAGTATGAAGAGTAAATTGGACCAGTCTGCGGGTGAGGACAGTCTGGGGGTGAGGACAGTCTGCGGGTG